TGAGTCTCGTCTTACATGTCTTCTTAATTTTCTGCCAAATCTGTTAACAGAACTTGCTCTTAAAACATCTTTTACTGTGGTTCTTCTTATTGGAACAGTTCCTTCAGGGCATGATTCACCTGAATCTGTCCATAGCTGGTAGCTCTCTGCCACCGTCTTTCTTGTTTCATTGCTTCTTGGTCTCTCTGGTGGATCCTGAATCAATGTAAATAGATCACAAAGATCAGAATCATGAGATTTTCAAATACCAACAAAACATCAAGAAGGAAAAAAAATCTGGAAAGCAGAAAAATTACCAGGGGTTTCTTTCCTTTAAGCTCTGGATGGTCAAATGCTGGTTGAAGATGAGATAGAACACAATGTATTACGTCACCATCAGGGCTCTAAAGCATAAAAACAAGGAGCCAGATCACTAAAAAGCTTGAACAACAAAACCAGGGAAACTCAACTAACATTCCAGGGAAAGAAAAAAATGAAAAGTCAAAAGAAAGTAGCACCTGAATTGTCTTGACCGCAGGCTTGTTGATCTTCTTGAGATAAGCGTTGGCTCTCCTTAGTCTCAATACCTCTTTACTTGGCCTGAAAGTTTGATTGGCTAATAGCCGGCTACCGGAATCCGATGCAAGAGCTGGTGACGACAAGACAGGAGAAACAGAAGAAGCAAAAACAAGGAGGAAAGCAACAAAAATAGGTATCATTGGGTGAGTGTTAAGAGAAGTAGAAGCAGCCATTTTCTTGGAATGTCTGTGTCGTTGTTGTCTCTGTATTGTTGTTGTTTTTATTGCAGAAACAACTACTGTTTGTATACATTGGGGTTGTCTTGTTGTGTGAAGAATACAAAATGGCTCAGAATTCTCGAGTTTTGTCCAAGGAAATGAATCTAACTTCATGTCAACAAAATAGAATCACTCTTCAAAGAAAACTGCAGCTGGTTTGTTCACTAGTTCACCATTTTCCAATATATATATATATATATAAACCCACACCCACTTTCTCTCCTCTATCTCAGATTCTATTGTCTTGGTTTTGTGTGGACTGTCTGACACACAATAAACTTCAGGCAGGCTTGAGCTTATTAAAATAGACCACCTAGTTAGTTGGGTAGACTTGTACTTTAGTAAAAGTTTTAACCATAGCAGGTTGTGGTCAAAGTAAGCACCTATCAAACTTCTTTATTAACAAGCCAAGAATTGGTGTATACATGTAGGGAATATCCATGAATTTTCAAGAAAAAATATTTTGAAAACAATTACTGGTGTAATATCAATCTAGCAGTAAATCTCATGAGAGCAAAGATGAATCTAGCAGCGTGTTATTCCCTTATGATTCCGAGGAGGGAAAGAAAAGAGAATCACACATCACCTTTGGTTTCAATCTTGGACCTTCTTTTTTGTTTTCCTCCTTCTATTCTTTTCTTACCAGGTTAAGCAAAGGTTTCCAATTATGTCAAAAGGGGGCATCGCACTTCATTCTGTTTTTCTAACTCTGTCTCCCTTTTTTTCTAACCCTGATGAAATGTTCTTAGTGGATCGTTCCACTTCCAGGCGGCTTCAAATGTCTGCAAGTAGTAGGTATGCATGATCACTTAGCATTGTCCCATAGATTTGTGATCATACTATGCTCTTTTTTGGAATATGAAAGGTGGGGATTCAACCATTGGACCGACTAAAAAAGGAGGAGTTACTCATTGTACTGTTAACATTAGGCGTAGGAAAATTAATACAATCATGGTTTATGAAATTTTTTATATAATTTCAATTAAAAGAATTTAAAATAAAACTCGGTTCGGTTTAATTTTGAATATAGAAATCAAAACTAAAAAATCCAACTAAACTAAATCAAACCAGAAAAAATCACTAAAAACTAAGGACTCATCAAACTAAAACCTGTAAAGAACAGTCTAACTCCGTGAAGCTAATTTGAATCTTAAAAAAACATCGGTCAATTCAGTTCGAACTTTTTTAAAAATGCAATCAATTTAATTAGGTTTTTTGATCCAAACAGAATTATTTGACCGATGATAATCCTTCGGTTAACTTTGCCACCAAGCGGGAAAAACTTTCACAACACATCTTTTGTGATTTGGTGGGCCGAATGTTAGAGAACTCATGATGATGGATTATATGGTTCATAACGAGTAATCCCTTCTGACTTGATATCAAATTATGGACAATGAAAGAGGTCCTTGTGATGATTTCATGGTAGACCCGACCAACTACTATAACTTTACTGAACCATATATAAAAGCTAAGTTAATTAGCTTCACTCCCCTACCCTTCCTAGTTACTTCTACAGACACATCTCTGCTTTTAGTGTTCAAAACTCTGACCTTCGACCACCCTGCCTTGCAGGAGTGCACCTGTCATGGTAAAATGTCCAAGCAGAAGCTACTCCACCCATCATCTAGTTTGCAAGACCGATTTCTGGTGTGAAAAGTACTGCTGAACCTGGAATATATATGTATATGGCATACATTATAGTTAGGTGAAAGAATTTCGGATGTTGCATGCATGGGGACCTATCTCTTTAATCACCCGGCCAGTCCCCTTGATGGCAATGGCATCACCATCTATGTCATGGTCAATTAACCATGGCAGACTGTGATTAACTTCAAATCTCTGTTGAAGGTGAAACAAGGATTGATACTGGCTAGAGGGTATCACATGATAGTGGGGTCGAAGTGCTCTGTCGTCGAGTTGCTCTAAGTAATCCTCCTATAATGTCTCATTATACTATTTAATATTTAATCTCAAATTAGCATGACATCCTACATGATTAAAGCTAATAGTTACAGGATTTAGAGGAGTAATCAGAAGATGCTGTACAATTAGTAATTAAGATAATGTAATGTAGGCATGTAGCTTGAAGTAAAGTGAGCAGAATTTGATTATTTTACAGCCTTGACATGGTGTATAGGAGCATAAAAGCATGGGCCCTTAGCCTGATTCTCTTTATAGAGTTCTGGGGTATGGTGCTTCCCACTTTCAAATACTTCGCTTTAATTGCTTACTATCCTATACTTTATTTCTCTCTTCTTTTCACGTACACACACATCCATCCACCCACAGTCTCACCCACCTCTGCAAGAAATAAAAGAAAAGAAAAACCGGTGAGGATATTGGTCCACTGCTGGTCACTCTCATAAGAAACAACTGGCGGTGAGATTATTAAGGTATTTGAGTGGGAGGCTGGGAGCATGCTCCTTTGTAAAGTTGATCTAAGAGAATAGATTCCATCCCCACAATCCAGAAAGAATGTGCACAAGACTCTTTTTTTTTCCTTAAAAATAAAAATAAAATTGAATGGAGCTATAACATGTATTGTGTGGATACATCATCTTCTTAAAACTCGTGTTGGTGGCATCCATAAAAGGGAAAGGTATTTTACGATGTCTATTGATTATTGCTACTACATAGTAAGGCTGCCAACGCCATGATTTTTTGAAAGGAGATGAATAATAAATAAATAAATAGAAATTCAAAGCTCACATGAAAGTAAGACATGAAATGGTGACTTCATGCCTCAAAAACTGCTACTCTCAATATACTGAAGGCTGAAGCAGGAGTTTGCAGTGAAATACCTTTTTTTAAGCTCTCGTTACAATTTCTTTTTTCATTCCTGTGCTAGTCCCCAAATAGGCTCCAAGTATTAAACAACAAACCAATAATGAACACATAACTGGGCAGTGATGAGGGTTTTAGATACAGCAATAAGCTATTTAGTTCTATGTTTCTTAGGCCACAATCACTCATTTTGGTAGCACAACTGCAATGTGGTCCTAGTAGAGAAATGTTTGCCTCAGCAATAAGTAATGTGCGAATTGGGCAAGACCACCACATCTTAGAGCCTACTTTTGATGGATGAAGTTGAAGAAATGGGTCATCTGTTGCCGTTGTGGAGACCATGTGTTGTTTTCTCAGTGACATAAAATATACAACTCTTTTCACTGTTTTTGGGGAAGAATTAGCTGAAATATTGTAGCTTTCTAAAAGGTAAGCTAGAAATCCTTTCTAGCAAGAATGGACATAAACTTTGGGAGAGGATCACATGGCTATATAGATATATATCATCCATGATGGTTATAGCCTTGATATTGTTTATTGGTACACTTTCACAATATGGCTATGTGGGTCAAAAAGTTTTTGTGATAACATTATTCTCAAATGAAATGGATAATAAAGAAACTCTACTTCGAAATTTCAGAAACAATCTGCTCAATCAACCAAAGCAGTCGTTAATTTCAATAACTTTTGCCACCATATTTGACAATTTAAATGAGGCAGCAATAATGCTTAGGATAATCGAAGGAATTCAGGGCTTTTATTATGAAGCTATTCGACAAGTTCTGTCCTATTGCTCAATCATGGATGGGAAGTCATTTCATTTCACTTAGAAAATGTTTTGAGATAAGACTGTTGCAAATAGAAGGAACCAAGAGGAGAAATTAATGCACAGTTGAGGTATAGGCCTTGATAGTCAAGGCAACAATCTAGTGATGAGGACAATAATCTCCACTATCAGCACCAGCAATCCGTCAGATATAGCCATTTGTGCTGCAAAACTAGCCACTATTATTTAGAATCACAAGTTAGATCAGGATGAGCTCAACAAGTTGATGCCTTTTTACAGCTCAACTGTACTTGGTTATATTTGGTAGGTAGGAGTTCACTTTCTATAACATAAATGTTTCATAACAATTTTGCAGGTTCTTAATTTACTTGGATTTCCAAATTAAATTCAGACTAAAAATTCGACCAAAATATGCGATTTCACTCTCCATTTGTTTGTTTGTTTTGGATGGATGTGGTCCGATTTTATTAGAGTTGAATTGTCAAAGGTGGGGCTCAAACTTGAGACCTCGCCAATCTTGCTTATGCAAGGGTATCTCATAGAAGTCTTGATGTTGATGCATAGAACAATCCTGAAATTTGGAACGATAAAAAAGAAAAGTAGCGAGAGCAAGAATTTGATTCTTCATCCGCAATGGTCTCTATCTATCTTTGAAACCTTTTTAATTACGGTCAATAATAATGGGAATCTCTTCTAAAACCAACGGTGGATTTCATCACAAGCAAGGTATGTTGTTCAAGCTTTGTGGAATTGAAGAATTGGAAGCATCTTCACATTCTTCGGCGATGTTCTTTATGCTACTTTGATTAAATCTCAGTAAGAGAAAGGAATTACGTATGTACTTGTGTAGTCGAATGTCTGAAAGCAATATATTCTCTTGTCAGCAAGATAAATGCCTGAACCTTCGTCAAGAACTTGACATTCCATTAGTATCTTTAGCAAGTGATCTTACAAATTTAAAAGATACAGTTTCAGAACTCCACATGGAATTAGCCTTGGAAAATTAAAAAGAATCAAGTAGAGTCTAAATTTCCCTCTCTTGTTCCTTCCTTTTCGTTAATTTTTGTTGAGGAATACTGGTAGATAAAGCAGAATGTCAAGGTCAATGAGGGAAAGTTCAAGAGCAACGAGAGAGGTTTCTTTCAATGGAATTGTTCGACGTATGGTGAACCTCCCTAGGAGTATTGCAGGGGGGTTTTGTAGAGTTATGGGTCATGGCATAGGTCGCATAGGAATAGGAGGTAGAAGAGATCAAAATCCAATACCAAACTTCCCATTGCAGCCTCCTCAAGAGCCCCTCATTGCACCAGAAGAGTGGACCTTTCTATCCGTTTTTGAGCAGCAATATGGCTCAACACATCCTTTCTTTTATGCTTGCCAATTCATGGAAGCCTTAAAGACAGCAGAAGGTGAGCACAAGTTTATGTTCATGTATCTTCACTCTCCGCAGCACCCTTTCACTCCCTCTTTCTGTTGGGAGACTCTATGTTCAGAGTTGGTGGTCCAGTTTCTTGATGCTAACTTTGTTTGTTGGGGAGCACTTGCTGATAGAGGAGAGGGTTTGCAAATGGCTGTAACATTGCAGCCCGCAAGCTTTCCATGTTGTGCAGTAATAGCTCCTGCTGCTGGCAATAGCATAGCAGTGCTGCAACAGGTTGGTTGGAATTTGAAGTTAAATTTATGCCCTGAGAACTTTACTAGATTATTCAAATTTAGGTGCATCCTCTTTATATCTTCTCATAGGAATATAGAGAGTTATTGAAAAAAGAAAAAAATATACAATTGATATCCTAAGTATTAGATGAAACATATAGCTACTAGTAGTAAAATACCACAGTTTTAATGGTACTTTTTCATAAATTGCATATTTGTGATCCACCACTAGCGATGGTTCAGGACTGAATTGATTTTGTTTTAGATGGAAGGGCCGATTTCCCCGGCAGAGCTGGTTGAGATTCTGCAGAGGACAGTGGAGGAGCAAGGGTTGGCATTTGGCAATTCAAGAGCAAAGGAAGAGGAAACAACAAGAGCAAAGGCCATAGAGGAAGAAAGAAAAAGAGCAAGGGCCAAAGAGGAAGAGAAGATGAGAGCAGATCGTCAACTAAGAGAAGAACAAGACGCAGCATATCTTGCAGCTCTAAAGATAGATAAGGTGCGTGCCTATATGACATTAAGTTGAACTTTTAAGGCTAAAATTAAATTGAAAATGAACCGTCATTTTTTCCATTATAGGAAAAGGAAAAACTCAACAGCCTGCTTCCAGAGAGGAAATTTCAGAAACCAGCTGATTCTTCAAATAAAGCAAATTATGAAAAGCTAAGGCAGAATGCAAGTCAGAAGCAGTTTGGTAAATCAAAAGAAGCTTCTACTGTTAGAGAAACAGCTAACGGGTCCAAAGATTCTCAAGCAACACAGGTATTAACATCTATTTTGGTTAAACAATCTTGTTCATTATTTGATTATCCGAGTATAATGATTCAAATACTCGATGATTTTTCAGATTCTGATAAGGTTTCCAAATGGTGAAAGAAAAGAGCAGAGCTTTTCCTGCTCAGATAAGATCCAGTCGGTTTACAGATACATCGATTCATTAGGGCTACCAGGCGTTGGCAACTACAGATTAATCTCAAGCTTTCCTAGAAGAGTCTACAGTGTTGATCAGATGGGAATAACTCTGAAAGATGCTGGCCTTCACCCTAAAGCAACCCTTTTCCTGGAGCTTCTTTGACACTACATGTGTCGAAACAAATCATGGAGATTTACTCAGGATTTCATATGTCATGATGTCTTTATGACAATTCCATCTCAATGATGCGACTTACTCATTACCAACAAAAAAAAATCGGATATTGGATCATTTTCACGATTGACCAATAGACCTCTTCTAAGCTGAGGTCCACCGCGATTTGGTCCTAAATGACATCATAATGAAGCACAGCAATAGTAGTTGATTACAAGAAGTTACTGTCTTTATGGAGAAAAGCTTTCCAGGAGTGAATTTCAATAGCAACGGTAGGTCCTAAACCACATTTTGTGTAGAACTTGGCGGCAATGTTCAACGGTCCATGATGTTTACTGAAACTAGACAACTACAATTATTAAGAACCACATTTTGTGTAGAACTTGGCGGCAATGTTCAACGGTCCATGATGTTTACTGAAACTAGACAACTAAAATTATTAAGAACTTAGACAATAAACTGTTGTTGTTGTTGTATGTTTCTGTTAGACAACATGAACAAGACTGGAACGTGGAAGGAAGTTCATATCCTATAAACGTCGTGCTTCCTTCAAAGATATGAATCTGATACGGTGAGGATATATCACTGCTTTCATGCTCGTTGTAGAATCTCATCTAAATAGCAGCGGATAAGCTTGTCTATATCATGAAATCTGTTTTTTTCTGCAGGTGTCCAGTAATCATCTTAACTTAAAATAATTTAAGTTATTAAATCAAATTTTAAAATATAATTTATATTATTTTTTAATATATATTCTTTTTATATAATTTTATATTATTTTATACTTAATTTTTATCAAATAAATAAAATAATAAGATTCAAACTTTTAACCGTTTGATTATCAAAATTCTAATATTTGAAAAATCATCTTAATTTAATCATTTAAATTATTAAATAAAATCTAAAAATATAATTTATATTATTATATAAAGTTAACTACATTTAACCACCGGCCAGCTTAAAAAGTCAGGATTTTGCCTTCCAACAGTGTGAACCAAATAGCAAATCAAGGGCATGAAGACTGGATTTGACTACAACGCAAACTAATGACATCTGGGTCAAATTTCTCTGGAAGCATATTTCCAAGACATGATTTCCATGTTGGAAACTTAGATTAAAAGGGCTGAATTCTTCTTGAACCTACTCGGAAAATGTGAAAGAATACAATCATTGGAAAGTGAAAGGAATTGCTTAGTGGGTAGTCGCTAGATATCACCTCTACAGCCATTGGGAGAGAATAAATTAACTTCACAAAAGGTCCCAAATTGAGAATATATATATATATATATATATATATATGGATACATAACATGACGCATCTGTCAAAGATGAACAGAATAAAAGAAAGTGGCATGAACAGAAAAATACTTGCCTTGAAAGTCAAGTTATGATCGAGATCTAACTTGCAATCATAATCTTGACATTCTGCTCGCAGGATTTTCATCTTTAGACGCATAAAATCTCCTCTACCGCTTTACTTTCGTCTAACTGATGAATTCGATGGCGCATTTAAGTCAACAGGTAGGGATTTGGAGCCCAGTAACTTCACACCGACATGTATTTTATTCCCTTATCGTTTTCTTTCTCCTCAGGCATTGAATGATGTGCAGTGATCACCAAGCTCTTAACTTGATTAAGAAGAAAATGGAGTCTGTATCACCAGAATATAGCTCATACCCTTGTATTTTATTGATTGTCACCGTCACCGATCTCCAAATAAGAAATTCAATATTAAATCAACACCCTTTCCGTTGTTCTCCTTGGCAAAAGCTAACGTGCACCCTAAGCATTCTCTAAATGCTTTTATTGTACTTTATTTATTATTAAATTATCAAATATTTGAATAAAAATAAATGGTATCGATTGTAAACATTAAATAAATTTTGTTTTATATGGTAATAGTTTAAAGTATTAACAATAAGTTCTATAAGTAAAAAGGAAAGTCAAGATTTATTTGAAGTATCAAATCAATACCTTTCTTTTTAATGTTGAATTTATCTATATATCTTGGATTTTTATTAATTTTATTACTTATATACGAGTTTTAATACGTATTTTAATTCCTTTTCCATATAGAATTAGCTATTACCGTACGTTGCCAGAATAAAAAATTTAATAATAAGCTATAATTATGTACCTTTCTGTTTTTCAAATTTAATGTTGAATTTATAATTTTAGTCCCTCAATTTTAGATCGTTGTAATATTTGGTCCCTTCTATTCTTTTAATTTTTTTTTTGTTTTGATCCTAAATTTTATTTTTTTTTACATTTTAGTCTCCAAATCTTGAAAGATCATAATGTTGACAAGAATTCTAAAGAGAGAGAAAGATCTTGGGTGAATATATTTTGGCACCATTAACATCAATTATAGTGTCTAATAGATTCTTGGCTAACACTACATAACATGTTGGATCATTGTTTTTCTAAATATAAAGATGTTGCAAAGACATATCCATGGTGAAGTAGGAGGATCGAAGTTAATTTTTATGCTAATTTTTAAGTTTGGTTCACTATCTTTGAATTATTTCCTCCCTTAACAAATTAGAAGCATTTGGCAATAAGGTTTTTAATAAAAAATCAAATTGAAAAAAAAAAACTTTAATAATCGAAAGCTTCAATCGACAAGTGAATTATGCAGCAATTTATAGTATTTTGATGTTATAATAAAAACACCATTTATTTTTTTTTCATGAATTTAGTTTTGAGAGGGAATTCAATATAGATGGATTCTACTTTCAATGAAGTTGGAAAAAGAAATTGAAGCTTTTGAATTATTTAATTTAATTTTAAATTTTTTTGATCAATTAGAATATATTTTGTTGATAGCAACAAGGTTATAGACATTCATGAGATGTTATTTAGTGTGAAGCAAATGAGCGGGCCAATTCTTCCAACCCACGTATGCATGGCTTTTTTTTTGGATTTTTTTTCTCTTTTACTGTTCTATGATTGGATTTTTTTAAGGAAGTTTATTTAAATGATATTTAAATAATTATCCAGTTATGTTATTATTTTTAAATAATATTATATCTTTTATAGTAATATTAAAAATTATTTTGTAAATAATTATATATCAACCTAGTATGGATATGAAATATTTATTTTTTATTTTTTATATAGTTTTTTAAAGAGACAGTTCGGAAATATAATACAAGCTGTATTTCAAAAAAATTTAAATTATTTTTATTAAAAATTAATTTTTTTATAGGTTTTGGATAAACACACTAATCTCAAAAATAATTTTAAAAAATATTTAAAAATAATTTAAAAAATAATTGCAATCATATTCTTAAACAGATGCTAAAATTTGTTATTGTTATATTTTTCTATTATTATATAATTAAGATAAGCCATATAGAATTAGCTATTACCGTACGTTGTTAAAATAAGAAATTTAATAATAAGCTATAATTACCTTTTCATTTTTCTATTTTAATTTTGAATTTATACTTTAGTCCTTCAATTTTAGATTATTATATTATTTGGTCCCTTCTATTCTTTTAATTTTTTATCCTAAATTTTGTTTTCTTTTACATTTTAGTCTCTAAATCTTGAAAGATCATAATGTTGACAAGAATTCTAAAGAGAGAGAAAGATCTTGGGTGAATATATTTTGGCACCATTAACATCAATTATAGTGTCTAATAGATTCTTGGCTAACACTACATAACATGTTGGATCATTGTTTTTCTAAATATAAAGATGTTGCAAAGACATATCCATGGTGAAGTAGGAGGATCGAAGTTAATTTTTATGCTAATTTTTAAGTTTGGTTCACTATCTTTGAATTATTTCCTCCCTTAACAAATTAGAAGCATTTGGCAATAAAGCTTTCAATAAAAAATTAAATTAAAAAAAATGATGATAAAAAATTTCAATCTATAATGAATTTTGCAGCAATTTATAGTTTTTTGATGCTATAATGAAAACACCACTTACTTTAATTTTTTTTTTCATAGGTTTAGTTTTGAGAAGGGAATTCAATATAGATGGATTCTACTTTCAATGAAGTTGGAAAAAGAAATTGAATCTTATGAATTATTTGATTTGATTTAATTTTAAATTTTTTGATCAATTAGAATGTATTTTGTTGATAGAAACAAGATTATAAAGATTCATGAGATGTTATTTAGTGTGAAGCAAATAAGCTGGCCAATTCTTCCAACAAATGTATGCATGGCTTCTTTTTTTTTGAAATTTTTTTCTGGTTTAATGTTCTGTGATTAGATTTTTTTTAAGGAAGTTTATTTAAATGATATTTAAATAATTATTCAGTTATGTTATTATTTTTAAATAATATTATATCTTTTATAATAATATTAAAAATTATTTTGTAAATAATTATATATCAACCTAGCATGGATATGAAATATCTATTTTTTATTTTATGTATAATATTTCTAAGAGATCATTGAGAATGTGGTGCAAGCTGTATTTTAAAAAAAAAATTATTTTTTTACTAAAATTTATTTTTTATATATTTTAGATAAATACAGTGATTTTAAAAATAATTTTTTTAATATATTTTAATATAAAAAATAATTTAAAAAATAACCGTAACTACATTTCTAAACCTTTATTATTAACCTTTATTATTGTTATATTTTTTTATTATCATGTAATTAAGATAGTTTATTATTGTTATATTTTTTTTATTATCATGTAATTAAGATAAAAAGAAAAGACTTGAATAGACGCCAGCATCATGCGATGATATATTTTTGAATGCTTTTTTTTTATATATATTAGAAATTAACTTAAAATCCTAATCATAATTGGGTAATGAAAAAAACAATAAGGAAACCCTCCACGTAAATCAAAGAAGCTAACAAATATGTACTGTTGGCGCGGCATTAATTGCATTCGAAAACAACATTCTTGTCTCACAATGAGCATGCGAATTTCTGTGGGCCCCCCAAAAAAAGAGAATAATATTCAAAATATAGCCTGCAGAGAGATGGTCCAAGGAAAGGTGTCACTGTATATGGTGGTTATGGACAGCATAGCATGGGTATGGCCCTCTTGGTCGATGATGTTGTGTCCATTTCATGTAAAATTAATGAAGATGCGCTTTCGATATCAACTTATATACTGATATTAAATATTATTTTTAAATATATTTTCGACTGATATTAAATATTATTTTTAAATATATATATATTTAAATAAAAAAATACTATAAAAACAATGAAATTTTTTGAAATGCAAGGAATTGGCTCCCAAGGAATGGCTGGCTGTAGTTTGCTGACAAGATCATCCTAGGTTCAATGAGTACATGAAAAGAAATAAACTCACTGGTTCGTCTGTCACATAAACATCTAAATTTACAGATTTTAAGTTGATGACTCAAAAATAATTTTATACTATTTTCCAAGCTTGAGACTTAAAAACGATTTACATCACATTATTAATTAATTTTAGTTTTAAAAAATAGAATTAATAAAATTCAAATGTATGATTGTTTAATTAATAAATTTTTGATATTATGTTGCCCTATTCAAATTTGTTATTGTTTAATAAACAAAATTTTAATGTTATATATATATATATATATAA